ATGTAAGTAAGCGTGACCACAGGTTTTCGAGACACCCCTTAAGCCAGGATTTCTTCTGAATCCAAAATACATCCTAAATGAAGAATTCGCGTGGTTTTTCCCCGAATTCACACCCTAAACGGATATTTCACAAAACAAGTATTGTAAAGATGTAACCCCTTGATCATTTTAAAGGGCAAGAGGGATTACCATTTAATGTTAAAGAGAAGGTTGAGTTCTGGGAAGAGGTGAAAAATAATTTGTGAGCGTTATCTCTCTTGTTATGCAAGTGTAGAAGAACATCAGATAAGACATGTTTCCTGAAAAGCATGGCTCTTCAAATGCCTTCATATTCTAAATATGTCATGTAACGTCGTAAAAATCCAGGGTCGGATTTTTACGCCACATGTTCGTGTAGTCCCATATACATCTTTCTGTGTACAGTGTTTGTAACTTTACCAAGACTTGGCCAAATTTCTTATCATTTTGATGATTCCATAGCCTTGCAATACACACAAAATCTTATGTGCTAGATGATCAACCTTTTCTGGTCGATTCCACACCGTTTCTTTCACAATGCAATCGCATGACCAGAACTCAACTTCATCTTTAACAATGTAAAATAAATCAAATTGCGCTTCTGATGTGAAATTTACAAGCTTAAAATGTATTTCAACAGAGAAGCAATACCATCAACATGTACACTTCCAAATGGGTTTAATGCACAGCCATCATACATAATTATGTCACATGCTGGTACGTGAAGCAATTGGGCTTCTTTATGTGTTTTTACATTAGCAAGCTGACGTAAATAAAATTCATAGTCAACCGGCCTCCCGAACAGCTTTCAATTCGGAGTCGGAATCTAGAAAAATACACGCGTACAGCAGGATTTTGAAAAAGTACCTTTTTTCTTGAAATGGACGATTTTTAATCCCTTAACGCGGCACCGCGTTCAATAAAACATTTTTTTTTTAAATAACCCTTTACACCCCTTATACGCGTTTTCTTGGCCATGCATGTTATAGTATTTATATATGACTGAGACCCCGTTAAAGGTAAAGACCAGTATTGGAAACGCCCCAATTTCAAAAAATGAAATGGAAGCTCTCATTACCAATCATGTGAAATAATATGTTTTGACTAATACATGATGATACATAATTTGCTGGGAAACCGCCTACTAATTCATATATTTGGTAAATTTGTTTCTCTCATGGTCTGTGAGAGGTATAGGGTAGTCCCATATACATCTTTCTGTGTATAGTGCTTGTAACTTTACGAAGAATGGGCCAAATTTCTTATCATTTTGATGATTCCAGAACCTTGCAGATGCTAGATGCTAGATGATCAACCTTTTCTGATAGATTCCATAACGTTTCTTTCACAATGCAATCGCATGACCATAACTGGTCTTTACCTTTAATCATTCTTTGCAACTACGCCTACAGAATCCTGATTAAACGATAACCTGTATAGAAGGACCATCAATCTCTCCAGACCTGATTTTCTGTTTCCCTTGAATTGTGTTTGCCATTGAAAAACGTACCTAGGACACTTGGACATACATTTTCGACCGCTTTTTCTTGTCTTCCTTTGAGTGGTCTTTATAAACAGGAGAGTGTTTCACAAAGACTAAGATCGACTTAAGTTGGACTTGAACTATGGCAGGCCGTTCATGCCACTAGTTCTTGTAATCATTCCTGCATTGGTTTCTCAAGGTCACAAATCTACAAAATTTACATTTTTTGTCGAATTTTGATAAATAAAAAATTATATAAAGATCATGATTTCTAAGATTTCTCCCCTCTAATTTAACTTCTGGTTCAAGAATTTTTAAGGGCTGTATCGCGTACCGTAATATAGGTCCAAGCCTTAAATGTAACTCAATTTTTCAATGTAAGTACCTTTTTTCCCTCAACAATGAACTATCAAAAATTTAAATTCTGTAGATTTGTGACGTCCCTTGAGAGACCAATGGTGCGAGCAACCAGTGGTCTGAATGGCATGCCATAGTTCTAGTCCAACTTAAGTCGATCTTAGTCTTTGTGAAACACCCCTAGGTTTCACAGAATGTGACTTCTTTTGCTCTATCGTTTTGAGTTGCTTGTAAGAATAAAGGTGATCTAGGCTTTAAACTAGTGCATACCCAGGGCAAACTGGAACAGGCTCTGGCAAAACTGTAGGGACCAAACCATATACATTGTGTCTCTGAGTCAGAGAGGTATCTAAAAGATAGACTGAATTCCAGACCAAGTGAGTTTTAGTACCTCCGTTATTGATATTGCAGTTCCTTGATTCTGTATTTGTGTAGACAAGGCCTGACCATGCATTTGATTGTTAATTAAAATACATTAACATTTAAGAGTTATAAACGAAATAATAAGGAAATTGAGGTCAGCTTGCATGCCCAAGACTAGGCCCAAATCATCTTCATTAATGTGCTGGTCGAAAACCCCATTGGCCTTGAATTTAGGCAATAAGAGGGGAAATCTGTACCCCTGTTAGCACATGGTATTGCACGAACGGGGAATTGTTTGTGAGTAATCTGCTTCCTCTTTTGTGTCAGTGCGTGTAGAATTTCGTTGCGGAGATGTGGAAGAAACAACACTGGGGGAGAGATAGAGACACATATGCCGGCACATATGTAGAGAGAGAAAGACAGAGAGAGGGAATTGTGGGACTAAATTAGGGATTATTTTTTGTTGATCATCATGATACATTTTAACGCAATATGTACTAGGGATATTTGAGCTATGAATGGTAAAATTGCGTTCATGAAATTACTTACTGACCGCTACAAGACAAGTATTTGGCAATAACTCACTTGCGTGTTCATCACAAAGCTGCAATGATTTCGTACTTAGGACATGGACTGTCGGACACTTTCACAAACCGTGGTTTGAAACGCGTCGAAACGCGTCATATGGCACACATAAACCTAGGTTTGTCGACAAACCTCCTTTGTGAATTCGGGCCAATATGGGTAACATCTTTGATTTGTAGAAATATGCCTACCCGTAAGATATTTTTTTTTACCAAAAACATCTTTATTTCAAGGATTTACGAGCGGACTGCTGTACCTTTTGCCTTTGCAATTAGTGTCCATTTTCCATTCTTATAAGTGCCCATTTTCATCTCCAGTAAATGCCCCTGTTCAAATGTGAAAGATAGTCGTTTTGCTTTGACAAGTGCACCTTCACCTCCTCATAAGCGTTCTTTTAATCTCTGATGAATGTTTCTTTTCACCTGTAATATTTGCCCCTTTTATTTTGACACGTGCCCTTTTTCCTTTCTAATAAATGATCTTTTCCCTTCTTAGACAACGTCCAAGTACCCCCTTCCCCTTTTCATAATTATCCCCTTTTTCATCTGTGATGGGGGCTCCGTTTTTTTTTTTACGTGTGCATCTTTATATTTGTAATAAGAGCCACTTCTCCCTTTTATAAAAAGCCCCATTTCACCTCCAAAAAATGCCCCAATTAAAATCTGAAAGGTGCCCCTTTCTCTCAACTAATACACATTTTCCTTTTACACAAGTGCCCCTTTTCATATCTGGTTAGCGCCTCTTTTAAGGTTCGATAAGTGCCCCTTTTCTTCTCTGATAATTTCCTATTTAACAATGATACGTGCCTCTTTTCCTTTCTAATAAGGGACCTATCCTTTTAATAAATGCCCCTTTTCAACTCTTATAGATGCACCAATCAAAATCTGGGGGGTGCCCATTTTTCCTCGACAAATACCCATTTCCCATCCCATAAGTACCTTTTTTCATCCCTGGTGAATGCCTATTTTTGTAGGTGTGAAATGTGCCCCATTTTTACCTCTGATAATAACCCTTTGTACTTTGATACGTGCTCCTTTTCTTTTCTAATAAGTGTCCTATTCTTTCGACAAGTGTCCCATTTTCCTCTCATCATTGAATGCGGCCCTAATTTCAAGCGACTAGGAGCAATCTCTTCAAAGCTCGCTCGCTACGCTCGGTCGCATTTATAGATGATATAATTATGACACTTATCAAAGGTCTTTTTAGTCTTCCGTTATGAGAATGTGTTTATAACCCCATGAGGATTGTATTTTTCCTCTTTAAAAGATGTTTCCTCTTTAAAAGATGTAATTTTTCAAACTGGGACCGGACAAAAAAAATTCTCGCTCGCAAATGAATTTCAGACCATCACACCCAATTGCAAACTGCTTAAGCAATATCTTGTGAGGTGTATAAAGAAAAACAAATATTGAAATAATCCCTGATAATAGCAATCGCAATATAGGGGTACATTGTGTATACCAATAACTAAAAGATTTTCCTTTGTAGGTTTCCCTTTTTTCTCAGGAAATCGCCTTTTTTGTTGGTGCCCCCCCCCCCCCCCCCCGCTTTGGAAGTCGCTCTACTACCGCTGGTCCCCGCATATAGCTCCAGTAGTCTCATTTTCGCTGCCTTGATCTGCTGCAAGGCAAACGTATCTCGCTCAACGTCACTACTAAACTAGCCAATCAGCTGTTAATGACGTCAAGGCAGCCATTGTGATATAGAAATGCATTGAAGTCATCAGGATCGGACGATTTACGTCTTACATTAATCCTGAACATTTTACATATACACTGTCCATTTCTTAGAATGTTCCACCTTGTTGCAGGGGGTATGCTAAGCAGTCATAAGAAACTAAGCCAAATGTATGGTACGCTACACTCGTCATCATGCATGACAACATACGCCTATAATAACGATCCTTGATATTCAATCCGACGATAGGGGGCGTTGTCTAATGAGACTAATCGTAGCTATATGCCCTACGAGCATAACAGTTTCCTCGGGCAAACATACTATATTATATATATGTGTAATGAAAATTTCACACCGATAATCCCAGTAAAGATCATGAAAAAACAGGCCTGTATTTATAGTTCACACATTAATACGTTGCTCTATGAAGATTTAAAAGTATAAAGAACATTAAAAGTGCTAACATATATTTAACAATTACTACCTCATTTTCTTTCATTTCGTTTCAATTCTCTTCCGGTTGACAGGGCACCATGACGTCACAAATCCTTTTATCGTTCTTACTCCATGTTTATCTTGGATCCAACTTTGTGACGTCACAATACATGCAACAACCAACAGGTGGGTCTGAATATTTTCACAGCTTTTTTTTTGGTTGCTGTTAAGTACTACAAGACAAAAAAGGGGGTTGTGTTATATTTGAAACTAAATAACCAGTGATGTTCTTAATGCAACCAATATTTTTGTTTTTTCAAAAGAACGCCAACCTGAAAGCCCATGTATAGGGCAATCCACCCCTCGTAATAAATTGAAAGCAGAATAATAAGATGAATATTATGGCGAAGTTTGAAATAAATCGGACCAATGTTAAGAAACAAATAATGTTTGAAATATGAGATCAAAATCTACGCAGATCTCACATTGGCAGTTTGTTCAGTGGAAAGTGACGTAGTCACGGAAAAAATCTCCCGTTTGCCGTGTAAAAAAATATCAATAATTTATGTTTTTCTCCTAAGTGCGTCATCATTCCTTGGGATACTTTTTAGTCACAATTTATAATGGATATCATATTATTATAGGTCCTATAGATTTTAGTCAGGTTTTGCGTTGGAACAAATGGGAAATCTATCCGCCACTTCATAAATGACACACTACCTATTCAGCCAATTCGAAGATCCCATACCTATACAGTAGTGATTGCAACTTTAACAAAAATCACAACTTTCTCTTTTTCCCGATTAATTCAAACTTTTACCAGTCTGCTACTCAATATGTTTTGGTCGCTTTCCTCTAGGGTAGTTTCATATCAAAGTTAGATTTACCTTTAAATGCCTGAAAAGAGTCTGTCGATGTATGGAGTGCCGAATGTCATCCTCTTTAGTCTTTATCCTGTAAAAAGCACCATGTTTCTCGAGTTAAAAAAGAAGACGAAAACAGATATTTACAATTTAATTTCAAATAATGAAATGCAGAAACTTGGACCTTTGAATGTTCATTTACTAACAAAACTAGATTAGTTTAGTTTGTTACATAACTATCAATAATAAGATGCTTTATATGAAACCTAGGGGTTGACACTCGACTTTCTACAAAGCGATGGACAGAGTCAACTTCAGCAAGGTCCAACTTTGGACGCTTTGATTTGAAAATCATTCTTTTTGTAATGTTACTCAATGCAAAGGAGTGCCATGGATGGATGAACCAAAAGTAATTTATTTGGTTACTTTTTCTATGAAGAAAAAGATACATAAACTTTTGAAGTTAACTTTTCATATATAGATGAAACAACGACAACCAAAATACTCACATGTTTATATGATCATATAGAGGGCCAAACCCATACATTTGTTATTTTTATTTGGATTATATTAATACATTATATTAATTATATTGATCTAAACATATATATATATTGGTGTGTGTGGTCGTGGAGATTTCGTGGTATAGTAGTTTATTCACTTGACTCTAAATCCAAGCCCGACAGTATAAATTAGTCCACATTTCCCATTCTTCACCCAGGTTTAAATTGCTATCTAGTAATGGCTCGGGTAGTGATAATTGCAGGGCTCACAGGAATAAGAGCAGAGATACTGATACAGTGATGAGGCTTCCATAGGTAAAGAAAGTTGTTCTTAATATTGAGGAATGGATAGCAAAATAAAAAGATATATGCCCTTAGCTGTTTATCCTTTACCTAGCGATTCGACATTTCTATTACAGTTATTACGGTCTCACCACAAGGCGGAATAGAAGGGCCACCGGGGCGAGAGTACGAAATCAAGTGCCGGGCGAGTTGGTACCGGACACCTCCCGAGGTCGAATGGACGTTCAACGGGCGTCGCATCTTCGACGGGAACAAGTACGTCATCGACATCGAGCAGACACAATTGGAAGATGCGACCATCAGTTCCCTGTTCATACAGAACGCAAGGCCGATGGACTCGGGGCGGTATGGCTGCCGCATGCAAGCACCGGCTTTCGGGCTAGCCAGCACCACGTTTAAGGTGTTTCCACGTGAGTATTCCGAGTCTGTTAATGACCGTCAATACTACTTGGCCAGAAGGGATCAGACCACACAGACCACTTACAGGTGGCTATCTCATTAACTCAGCTCTCAACTAACATAAGAAAAAGAGGACCACGGGGGATCAACAGGCACCGATTGGGGAAGTTTTCTATATAGAGGGAGCAGGTAGCTACAAGTAGGACTGTGGGGCTTTAAGTGCGTATAAAAATGAGACCAACTTTAGTAGATTTCCTATTTAAAGGTTATTTTTATGTGCGACCTTGAAATATATTTCGTTTTAAAGAGGAACCAATATTTTGTATAATGATACCTTCATAACTCAGCTGCCACGGTTGACTGACCAGCAGCCTTTTAAAACGGTATTGTCAAAATCCTCCTGTACCACATTTGGGATTGAGGCAATGAATATGATTCAAAAAATTGCTGATTAATTCACATTATTTTTTAGCACTGTTAATAGAAAACAACAACAACAACGAGAACATCTAATACAATTACCATTTCTACCACTATTACTACTACTTCTACTATTACTAATGATAAAAATGAAGTAACATTTTTCCTTTTTGTTTCAATTTCAGAACCAATACTTATGCCTTCTCCTCATCAAGTCATTGATCGTGACGCTAATATGACCCTACGATGCCCAGCCAGGGGAAACTTTGGGGGAAACCTCTTCTGGATTAAGGTAAAGCTGAACAATTTCAAAAGGCATGTTAACATATTCCGCGGTTAACTGCGGATGTTTACCGCGTTTCTAAAAAGTTCGTAAGGGCATACTTAAATTCACATTTTGTATCTTATTACATACAGATAAGTGAGTAGCGTACGACCATTGTTGCGCGCAGCTACTACTTTCATCCCCATATGCTATTTTATTTAGTACATTTACTCATACGCACACGAACATGCACCCCCTTCCATCGATCCCCCTGCCCCCCCCCTGTCCCCCTCCCCCCCCCCAAAAAAAAAAAAAAAATATATATATATATATATATATATATGGAGAAAAAAAAGAGGGATTACCGCAGCATATACGAACTAGACTTTAAATATACTATGTCCCTTTTGCATCCAACATCAAATTCTGTAGAACTTTGCAGGAATTATGAATATGTCATGTATATCCTATCTGTGAATTCAAACGTAAGCGGTGTCCTACTCCTAGTATTCAAATCCGTTTACTTGCTAGACTTCACTGTCAGACACTATTGAGTGACTGGCTGGTTTTTCTTCTTTGGTAATAACATACATAACATTAGCTGTAAAGGGTATATAAGCATTTGTCTTCATCAATAAACCACTTCTTGTAATGGCCAAAATCAAACTTATTGAATCTTTGCGCAGCATAAAACGTACGACCATTCGGTACAATGCCGTAAATCAGACTGTTATTAGGGACTTTTAGATTTGCACGTCAACAGCTTTGACTGCAACGTGTGATGTCATTTTAAGGCACTGCGCATGCGTTACGTCGTCTCAGTCGGCGATCGAGAATGCGTCAACCTTGATTTTCCTAAATCTAGTACAAACATACATACATATTGATATTTATATAGCGCCTTGACATGCTCAAGGTACTAGTATGCCGCGTGCGCATAAAATATACAGTTCCTCAGGTAGACAAAGGAACATCCCTTCCCTGCTATTATGTAAAAATGTGTAGAACAGGTGTCACATGCATATTCACCTGTTCTACAAATTTTTACATAATAGCAGTGAAGGGATGTTCTTATGTTGTGGGTAGAATGAGGAACTGTATATTTTGTTCTCTTTCTTTGTCCGTGATGTTCATAGTGTTACTTCCTGCATGCATGTATATCGTCGAGTGCAATCTAAAAGATTTATAATTGTAGTCAACATGGGCAGTTAAGTACGTTGACAGGTATGATCAGTCGGCGTTCGTCGTGTTCTCGTCCACTCAATCTAAAAGTCCCTAATTACTGGCTTTATAGCTCCTAAGTCGATTCGACAACTAATAGTCGTTATTTTTGCACTTAAAGAAATTTTCAAACCCTCTTTTTTAAACGATGTTCTAAATTAGTATTATCTTTCAAATGCCGCTGGAATTTAACCTTTTCATATATTTGGTTTGCAAATGGGACGTAGTACCTTTAAGGATGAAATAAGTTCTGGTGATACGATGACACTCTAAACAAAAATTTGATATATATAAAAGCATATAAATATATATATATATAAAGATATATATATATAAATATATAAAAGCATTGATGTAAACTGTGTAAAGTCGAGAAGTGTGATTGTTTTAGAAGCTACATAGTATTGAATGCTATGCAAGAAAAGAACGAGCTCAGTTAATCTTTTACTTTCTATTATTTCTTTTATCGAAAGAAAGGTGGTAAACAGTGATGTTTTTGTGATGCCAAGTTTGAATATAAAACAAATAAAAAGATAGCAAAGTGTTTGCTGAGCGACTTCTCTAAGTACACCATTTAAAAGAAGACGAGTAAATTCAGAGATAGTAATTCATTCTGTTGACATCTAACTTGCAACATATTTTCTCCGTCAACTTGGTTAACTATTCATCGTACAAAAAAGACTAAAATTGCTCTATTTAGAGCAATAATAAGCACCTGCAGTGTCAACTATCGATGAAGGTGACATTGCCACATTTTGAAACTATGTCAAATAATCTAAGGGGCCTGTTCTGAAAGGAAATCACCATGAGTATATGAAATAAAAATCACGTTCTCCGTGTTCAATACAATCGCATGACTAGGACTCAATTCTATCTTTAAATCAGATTTACGAGCGTAAATAATCATGTCACGTCACCTTCTTGCGTGGGATTCCCTCTCTTGTCCCTTTCCGCGTCGCTAAGCTCATAATAGGTTCAGGTCACGATGCTTTACCTCCCCAGCACCTAACCTAGATTTCATGATCTTGTCAGAGATCGGGGGAGGTGAAACAATAGTTTTTCAAATTAGTAACCTGAAGACCTTTTTGGTTGATTTTTTAAGCATTTTAGAGTAAATTATTGCGCCCACCATTATTCCATTTCATCCTGAAAGGTCCTTTGCAAATTCAGATCCAATATCAACCTCATTGTTATTATACCGTTTCATATCATTATATAGTTTAACATATTGAATACAATTTTCAATAATTAATTAACAATACATCGATTATTTTAGTTTGTTTAGTTAGATTTTGTCACTTTTATCTACTCGATAGCATATCGAGAAAATAGCCGCCCCCTTCTGAACCAAAATCCTGTAGCTGCCTCTGCCTTAAATATACAAACCCACGTGTTTACAATAAGAGTGCAAGATGGATGAGTATATTCTATATCCATTAGTTTATTCGTACTTGACCTGATGTTATCTCTGTACACGCACCAAGATTTCTATTGTTATTGTTTGTCACACGAAGGGGGCGTGACGACGTTTTACCTGAATTGACAACCCGAAAGTGATGACGGTTCGAACAAGAACGCCATCTTAAATACTTGATGGTCGCTTTCCTTGCTTCTTCCGTCATAAGTTCGTATTGGTCGGCTTTACGGAATTGCCCATAAACCGTTATTGAGGTCATTTTATGAACATTCAGCAAAACAGAAATTTTGAAATAAATATTTAACATTAACCTATCTTCCATTTATCAAAATTATCATGGGTCAATCCCCCGTAAGGTGATATGCAATTGGATCATACCATTCACTTAATGGCTGAGCATAGCCATTTAACAGTCAATAATTCTGTGAACGAGAGAAAAAATGCAAATTAAGTACTAGACCACCGTCTGCGTACGAAATCCCATTACTGCCACCGGAAGAAAAACAAAGTTTGCTGGAGAAACAAAATATTTGTTGTAGTTTTCCGGAGAATTAAAACAAAAAGTGTTTTCTGGAGAATTTGTTTTTGTTTTGTTTTCTGGAATAAAAAATAAAACTCGCTAGCGCTGCATGCATGCTGTTCTCACGTGCACGGCGCGCGTTTTTTCCTAAACAGGTCTGTTATTACTGATATTTCCCAGTCTCCTGATTGGCTGATATGTTTTACGTCATTAATTTCCAGAAAACAAATAACAACTAATTTTCCAAAAAATACAATTCCTCTTTGCAGAAAACACACTATTTTATTTTTTCTTTCATTGGCAGTATCTCAATTTTGTTTTTGCGTGCATTAAATCTTGCGCATTGCTGCCCCCAGATAGACCCCAGATGTGCGAATGCACCCGACCGCGTAAGATCACGGGTCTTTAATTCCCCGCCGACGCTCACTCCGCACACACTAGTATGCTATTAGGGACTTTTAGATTTGCGTGGAGTCGTGGACTGATACGTGACGTCCATTCAAGGCAGTGCATTAAAAGGACGTCGACCGTAGCAATCCACATTGTCTTCGTGCAAATCTAAAAGTCCCTATTGCCAGCTCTAGCCGTGTCCGACCTAGCAACAAGCAGTATCCGAATTTTGTAAACCGAACAATTAATCCCCGAAAAAGGGACACAAAGACCCCGCATAGGCGAATGAACCCGCGCGTCCGAAGACTCCCCGGGAACAAACATGCATAAATTTGACAAGAAGCCGAAAAGGTTCCGTTGTTATTATTACAAGCGTATATCATTATGAGCGATTGAAAAACACATGCACATGCACTAGAAATGTCTTCATAGGGTTGATTAGCGCAATGAATGACGCAATATCTGGTCATTTTGATATTTTGTTCTATTTATAATAATAATAATAATAATAGCTAGTTCTTATATAGCGCTTTTCAAGACCGAAGGCCATCTCAAAGCGCTTTACATAATATATATATGTTGTAAGGATAATAATACAGTAATTGGTGTTTAGGTGGGGTTGTACGATCTGAACTATGATCGTACAACCTTCATTAGGCACATGTGAGAGTGAAATTGCACAAACATATTATGGCACATCAATAATTATCTTCATTCATTGAGTGATTAACGCAAGGAAAAACGCAATTTATGTTCAATTCAATATTTTCCTTCTCCTTTGTAAGGATAATATAGTGATCGGTGGACAAGCCGGGGTGTACGATCCGAACAGAGACAGGATACCTGACTACTGGGTCGTCGACAATGAGAGGATGGTAATCATCAACGCTAACATCCAGAACGCAGGAGTTTACAGGTGCCAGTACCGGTATTTCTTCCACGGCAGACACCAGAACGTCGCAGAGATCATCAACGTCAACTGTACGTAATCAGTGTTTTTGCACGACACTTATGTCCTTGGCCCTGTCTTACAAAGAGTTACGATTGATCAAATCAATTGCAAGTCCTCCAATCAATCGCAAGTTTGCAGTCTCCTATCTCTTATGTACATAGTTGCGATTGATATTAAATCTTTGTAAGACGGGGCCCTACTGTGCATTGCGCACGAGGCATCATGTTCATGACGTAGGATTGCGTCAGAGCCTGCCGCGGTGTTTTGATGCGCTACTAGAGGACCCGGGCTCAACTCCCGTCGCACAGGCCCGCATTTATTATTATAAGAATCTTCTACATAAGCCTATTACTACGCACCCTTTTCACCCCGCTCATCCTCCCCCCCCCCCCTAAAACAAATTTAAAAAAACGAAGAAGAAGATTCAAGATTTGAAGATGAACTAAGAAGAAGCAACATTAACAAAGAATATACAACTAACAGGAAAACAAAAGAAAGAAAAATGCGAGCGTTACCATGCATGCTTGGTGTGCTTTATTTCGCTCCCATTATTCACCCAAACCAACCAAATTAACATAATAATGACATGTATAGGATTCGTAACATAATGAATTCGCAAAATAAAAAGCGTAAGCATCTCAATGAAATATTATTACTAACAAGAAACAACGAAGCAAAACAAATATAAATTCTTCTTGGAGCTATTATTGATATCATCCAAGGTTTTTACGAACTAATAAAAAAAAGAAATAGGTTTGGAATACATCCTTCACCTATCCGCAAGAAAAAAAAAAATAATAAAAATAATCTTTAAAAAAAACAGTGAAGCCCTTCATAAAATGATTACGTGAGACTACATCATCCAACAATTTTGGTAAAGGCATCGTTTAACAATGTTAAATCGGAGATGCACGGCCCTACGTGCTACCCCGTGTCTGTGATATGGTGTCAGGGGCGTACGCAGGATTTTTTCAAGGGGGGGGGGGGGGGTTAAAATCTGGCCCAAAATATTTTGCTCCCGAAAATTTGAAAATCGCGCCGGCCGAAAAGTCGCTCAGTGGGGGGGGGGGGGGGGGGGGGGGGGGGGGGGGGGGGGGGGGGGGTAAGCGGACACTTTTTTTTTTTTTTTGGTAGTCCAAAAAAAACCGCAACGACTCAGCCAACCGAAAAGTCGCTCAGTGGGGTGGGGGGGGGGGGGGGGGGTAAGAGGACACTTTTTTTTTTTGTATCGAAATTTGAAACTTTGACATTTTGCTCCAAAAGGGGGGGGGGGGTTATGAAAATTTAGGGGGGGGGGGGGGTTTACACACAAAAATTTACCAAAGGGGGGGGGGTTTAACCCCCCCCCCCCCCTGTGTACGCGCCTGTATGGTGTAATACATATATTGTCATTCCAGATTCCGGACTATTCTTGTCTCCAAAGTGTATACTTTTGTTCATTATAATGAGTAACTAACGGTATGACCATACCAACTATGTTTATAATATACTCATATCGAGAACAAACTATATTGTAATATTGTTTCAATAAGCTGCAGATATATTCCCTTCCTTTTCCTTGTCGTTTGTAGTTAATTGTGAGTATCGGTTCATGTATCCCTGTAATATCCCTTTCCCTGTTTTAGCGTATATTTGTATTTTATAAACTTTACTTTAGTTAATTATGTCATTTTTAGTTTAAGGAGCCTTTCCACAACAAGCTCTGCTTTTCCATAGGCTCCGCCACTTTATCTCTAAAGTTAAATTTAATGGACAATATTCTAAATAGTGTATACCGGTATTGTATGTACATGTATAAAATAATCATTTTTAATATGTTGTTACACTCTTTGTAAAATGAGATATCGTGGAAACCAATAAACTATCTATCTATCTATCTAATATTGAAGCCCTAGAAGAAGAAAAAAATCGAGCTTCTAAATGATCAAGAAGTGCCTCCAAAAAGTAAATATCTTTGAGTGACCAGTTTTACCATACTCGTTTTCCCATTTAGACTGTAGTGTTTTGAAAACCGTTTGGAAAACGCAAAATTTGATTTCGATTTCCAATCATAAATTGGTAATCAGACAGGCGATCGGCTTGTAAAAGTCATGGAGTTCCTGACTTACCTAAAGGTTTATAATTATAATTGCAGCATGAGCTACAATCCAGGATTTTGTTTCATAATCTGAGATAAAGTTACCGGTTAAAGGTTTACAGGATAAACGCATTTTCAGGAATTGTTGTTCGTTTTGTTTTCCTCTCAACATAGCTCCCGTCGAACTGGTAACTGCACCATTAATACGATGGCAGGAGCTTCCCAACGGTGGTCCCCTTCGTCTAGAGTGTAAGGCCCGTGGTTTCCCACGACCAAGGATCGCTTGGACCTACTCCAATTTCACCTTCGAAAGCGGGGGTTACATGGACAAGAATGTGAGCATTGTGACGAGTCCACAGTCCCAGACCATTGTGACGTCAGTGCTCAGCGTGCGTCACATGCCGGACAAGTTCAATGTGGCCCGATTTAACTGCTCCGGGCAGAACAGTGTGAGCAGGGCCAGTAAGCTTATCATGGTGGTGAATATGGGTAAGCAATGGATCGATTCACGGTTAGCACATGTCTCAAATGACCCCTAATATCCACAAATCTTCGAAACAGGAAGAGGTCTCACTTTATACATTTCGAAATAATCACTCCTGCAGCGATAGAGATGCTACATAAATAGCCTTTGTTTTCCCTTTTCAAAGAATACTTCCACCTGTTTATCATGGAGTGCACTGCTTTTGCATAAGTGAATGATAACATAACTTTCATGGGCACGTATCCAGTATTTTGTCTCCATGTATTTCACAATTTGGTCTGCAATTACCTTTATCTGCTCATGCTCAGACTGCAACTATGAACTGGCTTATTTATCGATTCGATGTTTCTGTTCAGGCCGGACAACTACCTCAGACATTTTCTCATAGACAATTAACTTCAGACAAACTACCCCCGGGAATAATCATGCCCGGTCAATTATTATATTATTACAGGAAAATCCCATCCACTAAGATGATTAACACGTTCTTACTCAATAATGAAAACCTCCCTTCTTGATAAACCATGAGGGTAGTTATCCGGGTTTTATTTGTTATATCGCGTAGTTTTGCAGGAAAATTGAACAATCTATCTATGATGATAATAATGATATGATAATAATAATAACAGTAATAATAACGATAGTAATTATATTAATTGTAATAATAATAATTATGATATTAATAATAACTATAATAATAAGGTAATTTTTGATCGACAATCGAATCCACAAGTTATCATCAATTTAAGTACAATCATCCTCACAAAAGAATGCACTGAATGTAAATGCTAAATTGGGAATATAACGTGTTCCTTGGAAGAAAAAAAAATGTTTTCAGTTATATAAGCATGACAATTTGGGATAGTCAATTTGTAATAAATTCCGGGATCATGGCTATATTCTTCTCGGTGAAACCTACGCATGATCATGGGCGGAATTCCCCTTATTCTTCTGCTTGTACGTATGATGTGGGGGCGAAGTGTATCCCAACAATTAGTGTCAGCACCCAGTATAATTCGATTGTTGGTTTGCATAATTTACATTTGGAATGACTTTGACAGGACTTTCAGGACAAGAGAAAAACATATAGCGCATCCCAATTTGTTTTGACGTACGTGTTTTGAATTTGAAGGACATTACTCCCCACATATAAAATATATTCATCTTTTTAAACTCTAGAATTAATGTGTACTTGTACTATTTGCAATTTAAGATGTGAATTTAACCGTCAGTTTTTTAATTTATAAAGTGAATCGAATTAGAAAAATCGATGTCCTGATGAAAATTTGATATGAAATTAAAGTGAATGTTGTAGGCCGTAATTTGCAGTGAGGTGCGAGCTCCCAAGATGCCCGTGATGAAGGAAATATTTCCCCACGACATTGTACGTACTCACTTTCCTCCGAAATTACATTCACATCGAATATCAAATTTCTTTGATTCTCGAGCAGGTATTATCAGTCTGCATTGGCATAATAATGTCAGAGAATGATATAATTAGGTATAAACATTCATTGGTAATGTCATCTAAAACTAGAAACGAATTTTTAAAACCCTTATTTGTCCTGTTTTTCCCGTCAATATTCACAGACCTTTATCATATCTATTTAGTCCCTTTATAGAATAGGATGACTTTTGTGCGATTGTGGGTTATTTTTCACCGAGTCTACTCAATAGAATAAAATGTCCTCACTACACAGCAGCGACAGGAATGTAGATGAACAAACATGACGGCCCGAATCACAAAGGAGGTTTGTCGACAAACCTTGGTTTTCGTACGTCATATGACGCGTTTTCACGCGGTTTTTTTTTTTTTACAAACCTGGTTTGTAAAAACGCGTCGACATGTCCGACTGTTATACCATTGTATGCGACCATGCAGAGGTGAAATAGGAAGGAGGGCGGGGGGGGGGGATCCGAAACTCCTCTCCCACTTTTAAAACTGATATGGCATACCTTCAGAATGCTGTTGAAATTACAACGGAATATAATTTGCCAACTTAATCGTTATAAGATCGCAAAGAATTTCACGAAATAAATTTACTATGGTACTGCCTGTAATAGAAATCCTGTTCGGATAATGTTACACCCCCATTGTATGTGTCATTGTCATGTCCGCACATTTCAAAATGTGACGCACCACGCCGTTGACATTTTCTGAGGATTTTTTTTCTTTCTTCGAAGTCTAAGCCATCGCATTTGTCGGAAGTGTGCCCTTCTCCCTCCGAATTTGAATGTAAAAAAAAAATCATTGACTATCCCCTGTCAAGTATACCATTTACCTTTCTCGCTTAAAACTAACATTATATCCTTCTCTTTTCTTTCTCTCTCTCTCTCTCTCTCTTTACCTCTTTCATTATATTTGAATGGGTAGGGACATCGGGACAGGTTCCGAACAGAGGACCCAATACGGGGACATCCACCGGTGCTGCCTGCGTCGGGACCAGTTCAAGCTTGATCCTTGTTGCCTTTGGAACGTCCTGCATACTGATTAAATCGCTTTGGGATACGAGATGAGGAGCTAGCGAAACTGTTGAGAACTGCCCATTTATGCAACGTGTCCAATGCGACATATGACTTTTATTCATTTTCCATCCAAGGAATGATGAAGCTTTTGCTATGATCTTCGGGAAGGGGTTCTTGGTATCAACACCATTAGCTGCCAGACACAACTTGGGAAAACCGAGCACAGGTAAAACCGCCGAAAACGGCATATACCGCTCGGCGAATATAGAGCCCCAACGTCAATTGCGAAGCAGTGTGTACACATTGGAATTCTTTCAAAGTCAACCTGCCGTTGAAATAAATTATTTCCAGAATGAATGCCGTGGGTAAATTACCTTCAAGTCCTTAAATGATTCGTCATGTAAGATTATTATCAAATGATAACATTTCAAATAAATATACCTACTGCATTATTTAAGAAGTATATATAAACATCAACAAAAGGCCGACAATACAAGATTCCCCCATGCCTTTTGTACAAATTGCCTATTTTTTTAAATTCCAAAGTTGTGCCTGAGTGATAAGCGATATAATATATAAAATGTTGCACTTGCGTTTATTTTACCATATTCTTTTAATACCATGTCTTTGTAAATGAGTATTTAAGATGTGTATAACATCACTTTTATCAACGTTTATTTTTATTAAGAACATTCTTTATTGTGTGCAGTCTTTCAGTACAAACACCATTAAATAGTTCATCTTTGAGGAATTGATCTTGGAAAGTATTTCTCCATGGGGTTTGTAAATACAAATCCTGCTGTGAATAGATTAATGTAAGACATTTCCGAAATAAATATGTAGACCATTTTCGGAGCAAAACGAATCTATTTAGAATAAAAGTCATTACAGTTAAATTCGTAAATTTTAAATGAATTATTTTTATTAGCATAAATTATCACAAAAGTTCTTGTAAATTTTCATTGTTCTAACTACGAAGATCAATGTATATAGCATTTTGAGGTGATTGTGATTTTTAAAAGTTTGCAACACTATTGAAACTTTTATATTAAATAGTTAGGTAAGTGCCTCTTATCGTATTATTATAGAAAGAGGGCAAGGTTGTGACCTTTCCACTAAAAATGACGCGGTTGATACAATATTTGACTGTTACAAGCCAAGCTTTTGTCTTTCTATTTCACTAAAACGCATTATCGTTACTTATAACTGTTCCTTTTATGTGCTCTGTCACATGTTATACAAATGTTATACATTTGCTTAAAAATGTATTACATTCATGTTGGAAGAAAGACAAATAAAATTGAACTTGAAAATTGCAACCTTTTAAACTGACTTTGTTATGTAAATAAAAGTACCATCCTTTAGCTTAGCATTTTATTTTCAATAAGATTGACCTTACCTATACACTTCAGTAATTGCCAGTCGCCTATCAAACATACTTAAACTATATTGACATTGTAGCCATTAAGTGTGAATACAGACCTTATACATATGCATAAAAGTGTTTGTTTACCAAGTATACCGATAATTTTGGTCTGTTCAGTTTGATGGTCTACACATGATTTTATTTATTAAAGGTAATACAAAGTTTTGGGAAATTTTGAAAATTGGGTGGATGGTGATTCTTTACAATTTTGATATATTTGGATTCCCCTGTGGATGTATTATAAGCACTAGAAAAATTAGCCCCTAAAACAATTCTACTTTCGAGAAAAATTGAATATAAAAATTTACCGGTGCTCCCGGTAAATTTTAATAAATTTCTAATACTGCCTACGGCCGTGACAATGGTAAAATCTCAGAATATGAAAACTTCAGAATATGTAGTTGGAATATTTAATTTCCAAACGGGAAAAGCTAATCGGTCGATTTTAGTCAAGAAACATTGTTTTATAGCTTAATTGATATCTTGACCTTGAGAGGGAGCTATACAACATAAACAGTTCATTATTTACAATTTCATGACTTTAGACTCGATTTTAACCGCGACAACGATCACTGAATATTGTAGGATCGCATAATGCTTCCATTATGTTCATTTGAACCAAATTCATGACCCCATACCAAAACTTTGTATTACCTTTAAACAGTGGTTCTCGAATGGTTTGAAATCTCAACTCTAATACATAAATGGTTCATCGGCATAGTCTTGAAGTAGGAAAGTTATTCAATTACAAAGGTTGCCTGAAGAATCCAGTGAACAATTTTCCCCCTTTTATATACATATATATATAAATATTGAATACATGCATATATTTTACTAAAGGCTTAATATTAGAGGGACATTTGGAGTGAACAAATTAGTCATTAAGTAGACATTGTCATTAGGAGGACAATTTGATGTCCTCTTAACGTGTTATTTCTCATAGAAGGCCCACCTTTGTTATATATATATCTCTATATATGTAATTTTACTAAAGGCGTCATTGAAGGGACATTTGGAGTAAATAAAAATGAGTCACTAAGTAAACATTAGGGTTAGGGTTAGGTTTAGGGTTAGGTTTTAGTGTTAGGGTTAGGGTTTTTCTGATGTCCACTTAATGTACCATGTAGGGTTATATATATCGCTCTCATTACGTCCCATCATGTCTATATCTCATTTAGATGGTGAGTTTTCAATGTCTAGTGTAAAAAGACAGAATTAAGAATGTATTAACAGAGTGGGTAATTGGGGAAAACGCGCGAATTTGAAATATAGTTTTCTGGGAAATTTCTTGTCTCGTTATCAAAATGTAAAATCAGAAAAGCTATTGAGTACGTCAATTTTTAAGTTTAAAGCTTTTTTTTAAATAAAATCATTCTCAAAATCCGAACATTATTCTGAAAAGGGAGAACGTTAATTTATTTTGAATTGCGTTATTCACTCAAAGGTATACAAACCATTTTGAATATGCGAAACACTTCATTATAGATTTTATCACCCTAAAATATATATTTTTTTCCAGCTAAAATGTCAAACCATGATGTAATATGTATGAAGGTACCTCCGTTGATTTAATTACATGAAGAAGAATATTTCTCAAGGCTACAACACGAAGGGGCGTACTTTATCCACTATGTGATTTGGATTATGTAAGGTTAATCATCAAAATATGCACCAATATCAATGTTTTGTATGAAATAGTTTATTTTCTCGAGGGTTTAAGAAAAAAAAACATAAACTCAAGGGCGATGATTATCAATATCCTTATCTACAATTTCGTCATCTTTGGACTACGCAATACGCCAGTGAAGTGTTCGCATGTTTAAAAAAATGCATTGAAGTTTTTTTTACAGTCCTTGTATTATGTAATATCTAGTTACCTGATGCAATCTTAATATTTCTTCGTATTTTATAAGCCCTCTTTTTATTTCATATGGCAATATCACCAATATACATGAAATTAAACCTACGTATCTTTAAACCTTCATATTGAATAATACCGTATTACAGGAGCCACTCTTACAGCTTTTTCCCGTAGATTTCTCAATAAGACCTCCTCCTTTTTTATTTGGACAAACAAGAAAGGAAATAAAAGCACAGAAAAAAAGCACGGGCACTTATGTCAGGAAATGACTGTTTTATTTGTACAATTCGCTAAAACTAATTATGATTGAACAACCTTTTACTGAGTGTAATATAGGGTGAAATATTCATCGAAAAGACATGATCATTATGGGATTACTGCATAATAATAATAATAATAATAATAAATTTATATAGCGCAGCTTTTATACAAAATATATTCAGCTGCGCTGGTTAAGAGCTCCTTTTTACTAAATTCTACAAAATAGTAAAATTAATTTAAATTAAGCATAACACTTTTATAACGAGGATTAGGGTACTTAGAGGGGATAGAAAAACAATTTTAAAACTGATCGATGGCATTACAAGTGGGTGAGTAACGTTAAGATTGTAGAACAATTTTGTCATCAAGATAATGACAGTGACCACGGACAATTAATAATTTCTAAGATTCTTCTATCGCCTCGGGAATTTGTTGCGAAACCGTTTTTCGAAAAAGCACACGTGCATGTTCACGTATACGCGCGTGTACTGTTTCGCATACCCTACTTCTCAGCGTCATCTGAACGTGATACTGAAGCCTGCAAGCCTCCAGTGCAGGTCGTTAACCTCTGCATTTTGCCCGTATTAAATAATAGGCTTTTCAAGATTCATGATTCATGAACACTTACGGGTTCTTATCAAGGTCACCCGCCCATTTCTTGGCGAGTCTGATTGATGCAAAATAATGCAATGCTTTTTAGTAACATAATTACGCCCCCCGAGTAAATTAATTAAACCCATCTGGCAAAATTTCATGAAGTGTTTCTAAATTGAGATCACTTGTAGTGAATTAAAGTTGACTATGTTCAAGGTCATGTTGCTATTATTTAAATACTGGAGGCACGTCGGAGTCTATCCCACTACTTGAAATTCCCATCATGCAAAACAGAGTAGGACACTGAATTAGGAAGTCTTAAAAGGCAGTAGATTTTTTTTTTAATCTACGTTATCTAAAGTTCTACGTGTAACCTAGTCAGACCACGTGGATATGTTTGATAGTACTCCAAATTCAATATCAGCTAAGTCATTCATATATTCATAAGAAAACCTGCGATGTGTTCGAACGAAAGGGGTGAAGTAGAAACTGGACTATGCGTCCCCTAGGGCACAGCCAATAATGTAAACACCTATAGCCAAAGTCAATCCATTCATATTTCCATCCGTCGTTTCGTTTCCAGATGATCCCGCAATCGAAATAAAGGAAGAATCTCGAATCTGTGGGCGGATTCTCCTTCCATTTCAAACTCAGTGTTCAGCTAACCTTCCAATCACCAGTTTTGACAGGGGAAAAAAGATTATACATATATATATATATATTTGAATCGACCGTCTGCTACTAAAAGAACTTAAAAACGGTGCAATGGACGTTAACATAATTCTGCTTCAAGACACGTTCCATCGTTCTTGATATGTACTGTACTACAGACCTTCCTTTCGTTAATGTTGCCTGAATCATTTCTAACACAATTGCCCGAATTCACAAAGGAGGTTTGTCGACAAACCGAGGTTTATGTACGTCATATGACGCGTTTCGACGCGTTTTTACAAACCAGGTTTGTAAAAAAACGCGTAAAAACGCGTCATATGACGTACGAAAACCAAGGTTTGACGACAAACCTCCTTTGTGAATTCAGGCCTATATGTCCACTGGCACACAACCCCACCCTCATTCAGCTTGCAGTGAAACCGAGCACATGAACTTACCCTTGTTGTCCAGGTATAGTTAACCCCCTTTTCCCAAAGATTCACTTATGATCTTCAGATATTGTCAAGTATTTCGTCCCTATTTTCACGAAGTGACGGTAGTGAGGAAAATCGTAACGCAAAGTGAATGCAATTTTTTTTCACTACCGTCACTTCGTGAAAACAGCGACGATTTGTTTGTCACCGTCATTTAACAATTCTATTAATATACTTTCAACAATCAAACAATTTAGTGCGCATCTGGTTCAATTGTGTAACAGTCTGAAAAAAAGGGAAGCTCCTTTTACGAGAAACCTTACTCGCTCATTAGTAAAAGGGATAGTTGAGTTCTGTTTTCAGATCGCAAATGCCTTCAAAGTGAATCGTTATTGCTCTTACTCTGATCTATGACATTTCTAGTGCCCTTTGAGGACCCAAAATTGCTAACAAGGTAATTTTAGACCCCAAAATGTGTGAATTCAGCCAATACGATCATACCTATTCAGCCCCACTTTCAACAAAATACGGTGACCGTAACAATACACGGGCCGGCTGATTGTACGTGCTTAATAAAACCAACACGAAAAAGCCAACAAAAAAGCCAACATCAGCATTGGCTGAAATACAACGTAAAGTGGGCTATTTTATTTTTTCAACGGCTTTCAACGGCTGTTTCAAATTATCTAATACTTGTGGTGGTACGCAGGTATTAGAAATCGTTCTATTTATGGATATTTCAGCCGTCTCTGAACCGATTTTGATCAAACAAAGACGATTTTGTCATTTAAATTGTATGTTCTTTCAAATTTGACAGTCAGTATTTCATTATCTCACAAAAAATATTTTGTGTAGCGCCCTCTGCAACAGAACTCAACTATCCCTTGAAACAAAATAATAATGATTAAAATACACTTAATAGCCGAATAAAAACGAGTTTATCTACATATGTTTTTATGCAAAGAGGTAACTCAACTGAAGAAGTAACATTTTGTGATTAACGCGCTGTCTTTTGAATCAATCAGGACTAGGTCTATGAAGAAAAAAAGAAATGAAACTTAATATTACTTTCGTCTTTCCTTGTTGTACAAAAGTAATTGTATGTTCTACATGTAATGTAAACTAGGGTTTTGGTTTCGTCCGGTTTCGTCCGGTTGTTGGTTTCATATATGTGACATTCAAAAGCTAAAGTTGGATGCGGGGTGATATTTATTAATCATCATTGTAATTTCACTTAATAAATAAACATACCAAAAGTGCAACTGAGTATACAATGCCCGTTGCGAAAAACACTTGTTAAACTCCAAGAATGGATATTTAGCAGACATGGCAATAAAAAGGATTCTTATCCAATCGAATGTCTGTGAGCCAATATTAATGCCTCCTATATGTTTTTAGCACAGTAAACAAAAGTAAAAGGGACGACACAAACGTTACGATCTCGCCGTAAGCAACGAAGATGCTCAACGCCTCCTTGTAAATTTTTTCTCCACACAGGGTCTAGATGGAAGCCTGAAGACATAAGTACCGGTACATGGGTATTTAATTTATTAGCTTCTGTACTCAGGTTGACCTGTCACAGATTTTCGATTACTCCATTTCCTTGTTATTTCTTCTTGTCGACGAAGAGGCATTGTGGAACGCCGGCATGTCAGTGACGACGCGAAAAAGTGCAGGCGATTAAACAAAGAAGATTACCCGGTGGGACTTGATGCAGAGAAAAGCTTTTGGACGATTTTCGATCCTCGTTGAAGACCGGCTCAGTTCATATGTTTGGAGTTTCGATAAACGCAAGTTTTCTTTGACTGTTCAGTTAATTCTAGACCTTTAAGAGAGGCATCTGTTATTTCACCATGAATGATTTACGGTGTGGATGCATATCTTTCTGGGGAGCCTTCATCTTTGCGATATATGCAGCAGCCTTATGTCAAGCTGGTAAATATTTGATCATGTTGCCTCTTGTGAATATTCACTGATCACCGTGTCTTTAAATCAATGCAGTTGTATCAAATGGGAATGAATGTAGATGGTTGATTGTATAAAACAGGGGCGGATGAATATTTTTCTGTAGGTGCATTTTTCCCCTAAAATGCTCTGACGCGCTGATAAACAAAGAAAGAGCGAGAGAGAAAATGAAGATCTTAGAAATTAAGGAGAGGATGTGGGTCCTATTTTTCTCTTTCAAGGGGAGGGCTAAGATGTACCCCTAAAACCCGTTAGTGATTTCAAGGCCCAAGTATTAACTTATTATCATGTCTTTCAATTAAAAAGAGGTTTACTTAACGAATGATAATTTTGGTTGTGCCCATCCTGGTCTCCTACTTATAATGATGTTTACTGTTATCGCATCTAAAGCCTAGATTTGACTAGTCCAAATCTTTTATGGTGTTTTTTGCTGCCATCTAGCGGTAGCTTTAGGAAAATGGGTGGGTGTGCATAGTATACGGCACGAATAACGCACGTACAGTAGATGCGCTGTGTGTGGGGCCGGTGTGCGAGGCTTGGGGCGAGCAACCCCACCCCAAATCGCCAGACGTCGACTTTCATAGCCTTTCACAGGCCCGTTTTGGGCCCGTTTGTTAATTATAATCACTATAACCTGACGGATTCAGGGATCTAGAAGGGGGGGGGGGGGTTCAGGGGCGCTTTTGCAACCACAATGACATTCTTCGTATTCATAATGTTGACAATAGGAGGCCTAATAATAGTTATAATACTAGAATTAAGAGTAATGATAATGATAATCTTATTCTTCTTGAGTCACATTATTGATGATGATGATAATAATAATAATAATGATAATAATAAAGAAAATGATAATTTTAATTATGAAAATAATGATAATGATAATAAAAATAATAAAAATAATGATAATAATAATGATGATGATAATGATATTAATAATATTAATGATAATAATAATATTAATAATGATATAATAATGATAATAATGATAACATTATTGATTTCAATAATAACAACAAAAAACATGTTGATGATAACAATAATATTTATAATAATAATAACATGCAAATAGGGCTTGAGAAAATCAACTTTAATCAAAGGGGTCAGTCGAACGGCCGCATTCACCTATTTCCCCGAGGGAAGGGGGGGGGGGGGGTAGCAGCGAGGGAAAAAGGCTATCGACAGAAGTCGCTGAGAATGAATTATTATTGATGACAATGGCCTATTATTAACGACAGTCATCATAATTTATAAACTATTGTTGTCGTTGTTGGAAAGGAACTATGAATATTTTTTGTTCACAGATCAAGTAAGCCATGTCAAACTATTTAAATTATGATATACACATGTTCATATGTTCGTTATTTAGAATTTTGGCTATTTAAAAAGTAGTTGTACTTAAAATGATGATGATGATAATATGATAATATTCAACGTGATGGTAATGATGCATATAAACAAAAATAAAAACATAAAAAACGACAACAAAACCAATGATGATGATGATGATGGTGATGATAATAATAATACCATCATTAGTAGTAGTAATAATAATAATAATAGATCACATTTATAACGCGCCTAATACATTGTTTCTAGGCGCAGTAGTAACGATAATAGTAATACTTATAATGATAATGAGAACGATAATAACGGTAATAATAATAACAACAATATCATCATTGCTTCAATATCACTTGAATAACAATCATGATTATGTTTACAAAGGGAGATATAGTACAAACACTTGTATAGATACTACAAAAATGTATATATAAAAGTAGAAAAGAGAAATAGCCCAGGTCATGTTTTATTCTTGATAATAATAATAATATTGGATTCTTATATAGCGCACGTATCGACCTTGCAAGGTCCTCAAGGTGCTCCAACATTACCCGGCAATGCTAGGCTGCCAATTTCGACGCTCACAGCATTTTAAGGAATTCCTTCCTACCGGTACCCATTTAACACCTGGGTGGAGAGTGGCAAGTGTAGATTAATGTCTTGCTAAAGGACTTTAGTGCCGCGGCGGATCTCGAACCGCGGACTCTGTGATTCACAGTCCGACGACCTATTCACTACGCCACAACACCTCTTAACAATTCAGCGCTAATACTACATATTATTCATAATGGAATACGTGATAAATAATGGGCCAAAATATTAACGGACACGTTTAACATGTCGTCTGTTACGTGTCACAAGGGTGTTTACTCCATGTCAAAGTAATATGGACCAATGCCATTGCTGCTCCAAACAGACGATGAATGCATGAATTAAGCACAAAAAGAAACAGGAACGAGAGGAATGATAGAAAACAGAAGGAGGAGAAGGAAAAGAAGGAAAGAGGAGCATAGGGAGGAAAAGGAATAAGAGTGAGAAAGACGGGCAGATGACGAAAAAGAAGAAGATGAGTGTGAGAGAGATAGAGAGAGAATAATGAGAAGAAGGAAACAAAAAGAGAGGGGAAGAAAAAAAGCATAGAGAAGGAGAAAAAGGGGAGGAAAATGAAGAAAAAAATGTTGGACAAAAAATTTCCCATTTTTTACCCAACTTGAGAACAATTATGTTTCCGACCAACTAATGGGTAAATTAAAGATTTTGCTTGATTTACCCAGTGTTGCACACAAAGAAGGTACGCAACTTTTAGCCAACACAAATTCACCCAATTCTCACCATAATGGGTATCATATTAGAAACTAGTTAGGCAAATAGTTGGATAAAATATTATATATTATATGTAAAAGGACATTCGAAACGCGGACCTTGTGATCCACAGTCCTGTAACATATGCATTCGACCACGACACCTCTAATGTAAGAAAATATTGTTGGATAATTGTTGTCCGGCTTACGTTTGCCCAGTAACATCTGCCCAACTTAGTTTTTAACCTTTAATTGGGTCAATACATGTAGGAAATGTTTTGGAGAAAATAATTAAAATGTTGGACAAAAATGGCCCAACTTTTATTTGCCCAATAACATACACCAAAAAACAAAGGTTAAAGACATCGTGGAGAAAGTCAGAGAACCCAAGTGGAGATGGGCTGGGCATGTAGCAAGACTTCAGGACAATAGATGGACAAATCGTTTAACAGAATGGCAACCAAGGATGGGAAAGAGAAGAAGAGGAAGGCAGAAGAGAAGATGGAGAGATGACCTAACATCATACATGGGAACGGCCGCTTGGACTAGGACAGCTAGAGACAGAAGAGAATGGAAATGTTATGAGGAGGGCTTTGTCCAACGTCTGGATGAACTATAGCCTGATAGATAGATAGATTACCTAATTATTTCATCGGTTACTACATGGTAGGAAATAACCCTATTGTTTGACAACATTTGCCCAACATCAATTTGCCAAGCATCACCTACCCAACCAATCTGTTTACCTTTCACGAGGGAACATCATATAGTAAATAGCTCGGAGAAAACTATTGAACAAAAATTGCCAAACTTTGATTTGCCCAGTAACATCTGCCCATTTTTTTTGTAGTGACTTAAAAGATAACTTGTGGGTGACTGGGAAGTAGAAGGAGGTACACTCGCTGCTCAGAGGTACTGCAGCGCATGTGGTTTTCGGCAAGACTGAGTCATTTTCTTCACATAAGATTTCAAAACCTCTCAGTATACATTGATTCGTATGTACTAACCTTCCCCATCGGTAAGCCATGTATGTGATTGGGAAGCCAGAGGCAGCGAAAGAGAGGAAGCAACAAAACACTTAAGTCGACGGCTATCCGCACTCTCTTCTAACATCCCATTTGGCGATAATTTAATCGAAATTCAAATGAAAACGGAGTTAAGTGATCGCAAATGGTCCCAATACCAAGGGTAATACCCGGTCACACAAACGAGACTGGCACCAAACTGACAACAGTCCAAGCAACAAATTACATTACTCTGAGTGGCCAGGATTCGGTCGGTTAGAAATCGGCTTGGAGTCGGTTTGGCGTTGTGACTAGTACCTATCGGCGCATACTATATATTTGCAATGTTCCACAGCATGAAAGTGGGCGTTTTAAAAACGAATTGATGAATAAAAACAATAAAACCATGTGTGTTACATTGTAACACTCAATATTACCCTACTAGGTGATATTGCTTTCTTGATGGAACCTTTCCAACTTATTTTAACCTGTAATACTTATACATATATCCGATGTATTACATTAGGTGTTTTTTTTAACTCCGACATTCACAACACACACAATTATTAGATGATATATTTTCTTTTGTGCCGATCGGATGTTATCAGCTGTTCCATGTTCTTCTTTTTGAGGGGAGTACATTTCAGCCTTATGACATGCTCATACGAGTACTGTGTATGCTACGAGAAAGTGTTCAACATCTATTAATATTATAATTCAATATCTAATAAAATTTGGAAATGGATATTCTGCGCAGTCGTACTTCATTTTATATAATTATTATGGCATTATGGTTTCTTTATTAACCAAAACGATCATATTTACGTTCACTTTCTTTTTCTCTCCATCACCAGGTCAAAATACCGGCCCAGATTTCTCTAGCAAATCAACAACAAGCAGAGAAGGTGCGTGACGAAATTGTGTTATTTTTTTTTAACAATAAGCTTCTAAAAGCAGTCGATTACCTTTTAAAAAGAATATCGTTTTATGAATGGATTCTGCTGAAATAGAAATAGTCTTAATATATTTCATATTAACATGTTATTCATAGTTTTGTAGTAATCATATCATTAACCTATGTTGGAAGGTCTGTAATTACAACCAAGATATTTGCAGCTGGAAAAAAATAAAGATAGTGTGGATAAAATAACAACAAAAAACAAATCATAAAGGCGTGGAATGGAATGAAAGACGTATGCTTCAAATCCGGTTAAAGCGTTGTCATTACTATGTCATTATTATTCAAGTTATTCAAATAAAACATTTTTAGAAGTTACACAGTTCTACATGGTTCAAATATGACTAGAAACCAATGATTTGCTCCGCCTCTTCCCGTTCTCTCGTTTACATCTCCCCTCCTTCCTTTATCCATCATCTTTATCTCGGCCTTCTTTCTCTTTTTTCCCATCAATCCCACCTCTGCTTTCTCCTTCCTCTCTTACTTCACCCACGCATGTACTTTCTATTCTAATCTCACCTGCTCCCCAGCTCCCACATTATATTTATCCCTCCATGGCTTATTATTCTTTTCTGTCCTAAGCAGGGGATGAACAATTTCGATATTCATCTCTATCTCGCCTTTCAACTGTCCAAGCTTCCTCCAATAAAGAAGGTATGTATAACTTTGACAAGAGGACCCCGAAGTTTCCATCTCATTCAACTTCGAGCATAAAAATTATATGAATATTTGATAACCATGGAAATCCTATGATCATATAGCCTAAAGTAAGCTTTCAGGATATCCTCAGATCACGTAGTATCCTCTTATTATTGTTAGCTAAATACATACAAGACAAATCGACATAAGGAGGGAATCGGCCTGACTTGAATATTGAATAATAATAAGGAAAAAAAACAGTCATTATCAGTACTTTCGTTTGCGCACAGATCGTGAAAGCAATTATTAACCATTTCTCAGAAACGCTGTTTCTGACAATGCTTGACCCACATCTTAAACTACGGTGAAAGGTCATACCAATAACTCCACACACACGCACACCCACAGACATATAATATATCAACTTAGACCCCATACTATCTTATTTTGTTCAACCTGATTTTGAACAAAAGGTTGAGCAAAGCATTCGGTTTAGATTTCAGTAGAATAAGGACCAATGGGTTCCCCATAGAAATACTTGTCTTTACTACAAGACTGATGTATTTCAATAAAAACATTTTCCCTCCAAAACCCTTTGTTACCGGTTATTTGATACACCTGCTTTGCAAAGTGGCATCTCTATGGATGAAGTTCACCTTGCATAAATTGTTTGTTGCTATGTAAGGCGAGCCTATAGAAACTTTTTTTTCATTTGTCAAAAGAAACGTTTTCTCAAGAAGTATGCTTAACAATTAATACACCAGCCTATTTTCCGTGGCCGCCGGCATATTTAAAGCAAACGTGAAACAAAAATCAATCACCTCGGAACATTCATAGGTGGCGCTATATAGGCGCTATTGTCGTATAGGGAAGGCTTAGTAACGTTAAGTATACTTAAATACGTTACAATAATTATTAAAGGATTTAATTCTTTCAAAGATAGAAGTACGCAAGTAACCTAACGAAACGCAGCCATGACCAAATATGAAGTAAGTAAAAAGACAAAATAAGGAAAAAAAATCATATTCTTAATATCTAAAATTTAACATGTTTTTTTTTCTTCAAAATTTCACTCTTTAGATTAAGAATGTATCAACACGGTGGGGAAATGGAAAATGCGTGGTTTTAGAATATAGGTTCCTGGGAATTTTTTTGTCCTTTTATCATCATTGAAATTCAGAAAAGCCATTGGGTCCATGGATTTTTACGTATAAAGCATTTTTCTATACAAATATTCTCAAAATCCGAACATAATTCCGACAAGGTATACAAACAATTGAGAACACGCAAAAACACTTTATTTTAGATTTTACCACCGAAATGTTTTGTTACCTTCAGCTAAAAGTCTAATCATGATATAAATGCGTATAAAGGTAAACTCAGTCTTCCGATTCAATTTGAAGGAGAAGTGTTCTCAAGGCCTCCCCACGAAGGGGCATACTTTATCCACTACGCTATTTGGATTCTGTAAGGTTATTCATCAAAATATGCGCCTAAAGTAAATGTTTTGTATGAAATAGTTTGTTCCCTCATCTAACAAAAAAAAAACCCAACAACAACTCAGGATGATGATTATCAACATCCTTATCTATAATATCATCTTTGGACTACGCAATACGCCAGTGTAGTTTTCGAATGTTTCATTACGTGGTAACAATGCATTGAAGCTTCTTTTTAAGTCCTCGTATTACGTAATATCTTGTTACCTGATATAATCTTACTATTTCTTCTGTAAGTCTTATTTATAAACCATCTTTCTATTTCATATGGACGACATCACCAATAGACAGGAAATTAGATCTATGTAACTTTAATACTTTTACATTATATAATACCGTATTACATAACCTACTCCTACAGCTTCCTTTATTGAAGATTTTCTCATTAAGACCCCTTCCCTTTTTCATCAAATCTGCATACTCTACTACTCTTTGAAGTAAATAAAAAGTATCAACTAGTGATTTTCATAATCTCCTGGGGAAAAGGTCCCTGTTGAAATCGTCGTCCCCGAGACCAGAGAGACATAAAGCTTAAGACGATCAACCATCTTCCCCCAACAACGGAAATAAAATAATAATAATCAAGTTAACTGGTTCTTTTAACAGCAAAATGTATTGAAATCGTGTTTTTACTCCTTCCCAAATCACCCACATCTGGCTTGATGAATAGGTAAATAATCCGTTAATATTTGCAAACGCGGTTTTACTAACAAAGCTCAAAATTAACTGTAGGCAATTCCTGTCGTACATATATGTTGATTGATTGAGATATGACGAATAAGTGCTGGAAGCAAAGTCAACTATTTTCTACCTTTACATGTATATGAAAATGTCAAGATGGCGGAATATACTTTTCCTCTTTGCATGTATTATGTTTACTTGAAGATATACATGTTCTCTAGAGGTTTCACGGTAATCCTTCCTGTGTTCCATATCTACAATCATGACGATATGACAAAATAATATTTGCATGCTCCCTTGTATTCATGATTAGGTTGATAGTGCATGTGTTGCCTTTGGCAGTAGCTAAAAGTAAAGGCAATCTATCACCAACGATGAGATGACTATTCGTCAACAATGTATATTTTGAAGCCATTTCGAATAATATCTTGACGAGTGATATTTTCAATTTGTTGACCCGAAGGAAAAATGTCAACGGTGACCCGCTTTTGAATAACTCCGGTTGCCCGGACCCGACGCGTCATTTACCCCCACGAGAGTTCCAGACCTTGGCTGATATGTTTTACGTCATGGGCAGCTTGGAAAGAGATCTGAAGCAGTTAGGCTTTGAATATTTATCGCATTGCCTCAATATTGATAAAGGCAAACAATAGAACTGAATAGATACTGTGATTCGTATTTTGTATTACGCTGCCCTTACCGATTGAGCTAACGATAGGTTGATGAAAGGTTAGTTTGCGTGATATTTATAACCATATCACTAACCCTAACGGTTAACATGCGCTTGCGCAGGTTTAGCAGCTAGCTAACTAGACTCTTCTGATTGGCTGTGTGCAAATGAGTTCATACTGAAGTCCGGAATGGAACTCTCGTGGAAAAATAATTTGGCTGCCCGGACTGCTATCATTTTTGTAACACTCCGGTTGCTTTGTTTGCCTCCCTGCATGGTCGTTTTTTGTGCAGCACGTACATTTCTGTACCAAATAAATAAGCGCCAATTTCTTATTAATTAATCTTGCAGTTGGCAACAGTTAAATAACCTTAAACCTGTTGGTATATCTATCACATTATGAATAGGGGATGTGGCATAGGGATGTTAATTGGCGTATTACGGGTTAAAAATATAAAGTATCACTTACTATCAACCGTATACAAGAAGGTGAAACATTGAACAAAATCATGACATTTTACCTTTTTTGGGGTACATATCACTTGACCAAGAAGAACAAGTTGAAATGATGGCCCTCTTTTGAACCATTGTCATCGTATTAACTCATTTGGAACAAGAAGACATAAGAAAAGTGCTCAAGAATGGGGGTAACCACTCCTTAAAGACGTCATCTGGCAAGCGATATTCATATCTCTTTACACTGGAGGATTAATTGAAACGGTGTCCTACTTTTTGACTTAGTTCATGATACGTTGCCACCCACCCTTCGTTCACCCTACCAGCTTACATTGCATAACTACACGATCTATACGAGAAATAGTTTTTTTCCAGTCTGAACGTGGTATAGCAAAACGCTTGAGTATCGTTTCGAACTGGATAACTAATCATGGTCCCGCTTAAGTCTGAACGTCTTATCGTACATAATCGTATAACTGGGCGGGGTTTATGGTGGGTGCGCACCGACGATTGGCCAGTTGTTGTGTCAATCCACTTCTTCAACCTTAGATTTTGTATACGGCGTTTTTTTACACAATAGTGTTGTCTAGTATGTTCGCTCTGTAGCTTTCACTATACGATCATTATGTATAGGTACGACGTTTCTTTTTGTGTGTTGAGTACATTGTGTGAACATGCTACATACAATCTGGTTTGAACAGAATTGCAATTGGCGTTACATCCTCTCTTGAGGTAAAAGCTCCCCAAGTGGGTGATGGGTAGCCATTCACTTTCGATGACCATTGAAAGGTCTAATTGGAGTCTGAATTGCACCTCGTGACGTAGTAACGTACCAATATCCACTTCATTGCCATGCTTTCCCGCGTAAATATTCCAGAGGGAAACCCTCTTTCAAAGCAAAGAAAATACAGGTTTTGAGTCAGCAAATTGAGAAATCAAAGTCGCGTTAAAAATTTGACAATTGATAATATATTTCTTTATTACCGTGTCCTAATTAGAAATAGAGGCTCGTTCAAACACAACCTGGCAAAATCGGAGCGGTCTTTTTTTTATGATGACGTAAATAGTAGTAATACGCTTCGAATTTCTGTATCGTAAAACACAGATCTAAGTAAGTGAAAACGCGGTTTTGAGTCAACCAATTGGGACACAACTATACAATGACCTAAAGGAAAGAGTACATTTCCAAAGCATTCCTAGAATAAGCTCCATGTCATTTCAAGGATCGTTCTTACTCGGAGTGGCGGCACAGCGATTAAAGTACAACTTACTACATCTTATAGAAGTCTAGGACTTCGCTGATGCGAAATTTCGGGCATTGACCTATGACAGAGGTGGAATAATAATATAGACCTGTATAAGTATATATATATATTTGTATATCCATGTATTAAACATTTTTGTTTGCCTTTTGGAAAATAGTTGCGTGGCAAGTTTTAAATTATTTTGTGATCAATTTTTTCCCTTCAATTGTCAACAAGCGTGAACAAAAAGGATTTTTTTAACTAGCTTGTGGGCTTATTTGATAGACATTCGAAATGTCGAGCGACCCTCCTGGTTGAACACCCATATGTGAAGATAAAGAACAATACAACAGACATTCCCATTCCATCGAAATACACCTGAACGTCACTATATGTACGTGTATCTTGTTTTCAAATATTTATACATCCCGGTAAATAATACCTAACACGGATTCAGATTGCAGC